TGGCAAAAAGATCGATAGAAATAGCTGAGAGACGTGCGAAACAAAGGACCCGCATGGTGTGGTGGTGAACGCGTTACTCCCCGGAAAGGATAATAGCGCGTTCGTTCCCCACCATAGACACCTGCGGTCCAGAGTTTTGCAAAAGAGTTAAGATTATTATTAGCAGTTATCCAAAAATTGGTACCGGTCGTATTAGGCTAAAGGAAGTGCAAATTGCAGGATTAATAGTACAGTTCCACTATGATGAACGATGTTCCTAACATTCCCCAAGGCAAGAAGTGTGACATTTCCATCAAGAACAACTCGTCTACCATCTATAAAGGCCTGCAAAGGCCTCAAATTGCTATCTTGGGACCACAAAAAAGGAAAAAATTAAACAGCCAAACCCCAGTGAAAAAGAAATTCTGCAGATGCCTACACGATTGTTAGCAGTTTTAAACTCTTTTTAAGTCTACGTGACCATGCTGGGGAATGAATTGCGCGGTGTACAACGCAGTTCGATACATCGTCAGCCATAATTATGGGGAAAAACATTAGGAAGAATTATTATTACAATGTATACATCATATTGTATATTCTATATTGCATATTATACATTATATATTAGTATATGTATTATATCTTATTAGTAGGGTGAAGCTCTCCGCGTTGGTCAATCCCTGAAGGGCGCGCCATGCATTCGACTTCATTAAACATTCTTTGGAAGTGATTGAATATATATCTGGCCTTTACAATGATTAACGGTAGCCTACCGATGTGTCGAGCGTGCTGTTATCCTCCGAGACAAGTCTGGTACTAATCTTCCGACCCCGAAGGGATGAAAGGCTTGGTGAGGCAAGAGCGCGAGGATCGATTTCATTGTGTGTGTCTCAGAGCGCCTCCGACCACTGCGCCACACGCCCCATACATATACATATACATACACATATACATGTACATATATATATTTCGTAATATTTCACAGTTATTTATAATAAAATATACATTCAAACTAAATAGATATGATAAAATTGCTGCCACAGTGTAGGAAATTAGCATGAAACGCGTTGGTACCAGGTGAATAAGAAAACAATGGAAACAAGGAATCGCTTCCTAGAAATTTTTTGAAACATCTGACCTACCTGCATAAACACTAATAGAATGAAAGAGGTAATATGACAGAGTGCAATGAAATGCTGTTAGTCTACGCTAAATGGGATAAACACTGGATGAACTACGAGTTTTGCCTATTGCTAACTTAATTGATACCAAAGGTCGAATGATCGAAGTCACAGATGGCGGGCGAAGCAGACTCAGCATGAAGTGCAGTTCCATGTCAGCACAGCCTCAAATAAACAGGCTGCTAAGGGGAGAACCAATTGATAGATCGATCCTTCGATTAGGTGACAAAATTGGTCAAGATCGACAAATTGCTGTCGGAGGGGTACATGAAGACATCCGGGCCGGTACCCACACAAACAGCCTGGGAGATGAGGTGTCCGAGACGGAATGGGGCGGCGACTCGCATACACTGGGAGTCGCGCACGAACGCAGACACTTGCCAGCGAGTTCGCTCAGACAACATGGAGCGGCTAGCATGAGTAACGTTGGAATGACCCACAATGGAAAGAAATCAAGGAAATCGACAAGGCGTGCATTCAGCATGTAGGTGAATCATGTGGATGTGAACTCGATCAGAGATAAGATGTAAGATGATAACTCCAACGAGTACGCGATTGTACAAAAACGGTCTAGAATAGAAACTGAGAAATACGAGAATGAACGTTGAAGAACGAACTCCATATCATAAGAACGCATTCTTGACTACTAAAAATGAACAGGGTGAAATGCTAGCTCTAGAAATAAACGGAGAAGAAAAGCAATAAACAAACGTCTCTTGATTGATGGTTGATAGAGAACGAAAGCAGAGCGAAATCATAAACTAAAAGTGAGAAAAATCGGAGCCAAGAAGTTCATGAGAGCCATCTTGACCATAGCAATCTCGCAAAAGGTGTTACACGTCTTGCTAAATATGAAACCAATGAAGTGCTACGTTGGACAGGCGCGATAATGGGAAAATAGAAATGAAATCGCTGCCAGAGGACCGACTTGGGGTTCGGAAACCTTGACAAGAACGCCTTGGTAGGTATGCCATCGATTATTGGAAAAGCACAATAATAACTAAAACGGAATTTTTTTTTATTCCTAGACACCTTGCACACAAGAAAACCTACCTAGATACAGATGCACTCGAAGAAAATGAATTCCAAATAGGTCACACAACGAATTCCTGATATGACAATCACTTGGCCGAAGCCCGCATTGTAACAGTTGAAAAACGACGCTTGAAATGCAATCCATTATCAACTTTAGAACTGTACCTTTCTATACAATTCAAGTAAAACTTTAGAACTGTACCTTTCTATACAATTCAAGTAACTGG